TTTCTCAAGAGTACAGCACAATGGATCTTCTTAAGACTATCATAAAATCCATCCAAGGTCGCACAAAGGGAACTCTAGATTTCTTGGAAAGGATGACAGAAAGCGATCTAGAAATTTACCTTCGTGATCTATTGAAAGAAGTCAAATACCTTGTAGTGGTTGATGATGTATGGCAGAGAGAAGCATGGGAGAGTTTGAAAAGAGCATTCCCAGAAAGCAAGAATGGCAGCAGAGTTATTATTACCACGCGGAAACATGATGTTGCGGAAAGAGCTGACAACAGAGGTTTTGTCCATGAACTTCGTTTCCTAAGCCGAGAAGAAAGTTGGGACCTCTTTTGTAGGAAACAACTTGATGTTCGGGCAATGGTTCCAGAAATGGTAAGGATAGCTAGAGATATGGTGGAAAAGTGTAGAGGCTTACCTCTTGCAATTGTTGTATTGAGCGGACTACTTTCACATAAAAGGGGGCTAGACGAATGGCAAAAGGTGAAAGACCACTTTTGGCAGAACATTCAAGATGACTCCATTGAAATCTCCTACATACTATCATTGAGCTACAACGATTTGTCAGCTACGCTCAAGCAGTGTTTTCTGTACTTTGGTATTTTTCCAGAAGATCAAGAGGTCGATGCTGAAAAGATAATACTGTTGTGGATGGCCGAGGGTTTCATACCAAATGGAGAAGAAAGAATGGAGGATGTCGCTGAAGGCTTCTTGAGTGAGCTGATAAGACGAAGCTTGATACAAGAGGTACGTTCATTTTGGGAAAAAGTTACTGTATGTAAGGTTCATGATTTACTTCGTGATCTTGCCGTACAAAAGGCATTTGATATAAAATTCTTTGACATTTATGATCCAAAAAAGCACTCCATATCCTCCTTATGTATCAGACATGTGATTCATGGTCAAGGAGAAAGGTACCTCTCACTTGATCTTTCTTACTTGAAGTTGAGGTCAATTATGTTCTTCGATCCAGATTTTCGTAACATGCATCTTACAAACTTCAGTAGTGTGTTCCGACATATATATGTGTTGTACTTGGATATTGGAGGTTATGTTATGACTGATGTCATAGGAAGTTTGTACCACCTCAAGTTCTTAAGCTTGAGAGGTGTCTGTAATATTCCCTCCTCCATTAGCAACCTCAAGAATTTACGGACACTTCTTGTCGATGACCATGGAGGGTTTAGCCGTCTACCCCAAAAGACAGCTGACCTAATAAATCTAAGACATTTAGTTGCTCCATATTCAGAGCCTCTGAAATGTATAAACAAACTCACGAGTCTTCAAGTTCTTAAAGGCTTTCGTTGTGATCAGTGGAAAGATGTTGACCCTGTTGATTTAGTCAATCTTCGAGAATTAAGCATGGATTATATTAACAGATCTTACTCCCTAAACAACATTAGCAGCTTGAAAAACCTTAGCACTCTCAGATTATTGTGTTATGCTGATGAATCATTCCCATCTCTTAAATTTGTTAATTCTTGTCAAAAGCTCCAGAAATTATGGTTAAGAGGGAAAATAGAGAAACTTCCTCTGTTTCCAGATTCCATCACAATGATGGTTCTTTGGAAGTCAAAACTCATGGAAGATCCGATGCCTATTTTGGGAATGTTACCAAACCTAAGGAATCTCGAATTAGAAGAAGCTTATGAAGGAAAAGAAATAACGTGCAGTGATAACAACTTCAGTCGACTCGAGTTCCTTCGTCTTCATCGTTTTGACAAGCTAGAAACATGGCATTTATCTACAAGTGCCATGCCTTCAATTAAAGGTCTTGACATCAAATACTGTCCACATCTATCTCATATTCCCAAGAGAATGCAAGACGTGGACAGAACTCCTTTTTGGCTTGTTTCATAATCGTAGAGGTAATATGTTAGTATTAGTTTTGATTTTCTATCTTTTTTTTTTACATTAAATACACTTCTATAAAAAATGACTCTCACCCTTTTTTATGAACTATTTTTGTAAGCAAATTACAAATATTTCCTCGAAAATGACTTTTATTGTACCAAACATACATTGAGTTTAATGAGCAATATATCATTTGGTTGACACTTGATACTGTCTTGAGCAGGGGGAAGAAAGGAGCAGTTGAAGGGAGCGTTAATCAGGTTTCAGGAGTGTGTTTTTAGTTTTTAAATTGTATTTGTTTTGAGCTTTTTGAGTGTGTGGAATTGGTTTAAAGAGAATTGTTTTTGGGATTCTAAGCAAAAATGATTTTATGATGTTTTGATTAATTGTTCCACCTGATCGATGCCATATGCAACTTGGTCTATCTCAATTTTCTAGGCATTAAGTAGTAACATTCATGATCCCTCGATATTATCACGATATGTGCATTGCAAATGAGCTATCAAACTACAAAACAAAGGTACCTTCTCGTATCGTTTAATTTGATTTCAGAAACCACATCAAAATTCCTAGTCCTAACATGAAAGAGCCATGGGAGAACTTTCGATGCAGGGTAGGGCTTGAAAAAAATGCAATTGTATGGTAAATATATTCAATAGACTATGGAAGAAAGCATAGAATATCTTCGATTATTGGGCCGTGTATGGAGGAAGATGTCGAGGGTCTCAGTTAATTTTGAGAGCAAAAGTAGTGATTGTCTTTACTTATACGGCTTAGGACCAAATTGATCATTTTTTTTTTTGGAATACGTTAAAGACTATTTCCATCATGTTTCTACATTATGGACCAAATGGAACCAAAGCTCATATATTAAGGAGCATTTTGATCATTTTCACTTCATGATTGCATAGCATGAATGGTGGAAACAACACCAAATACCACTACAAAGTAACAAAATGGAAATGCAATGGCACACACCAGTTTTTCACAGAAAGGCAGTTGACAAAGTACAGATTGTTGTTCATAAATTCAAGTAACAGGAAATCACAATGCACGTTATCTCAACTATGCATTTTTGCAGTGAATACATCAATTTCACCAAAATAATAGGTTGGGCATATCAATACAACAACAAAACTGTACTTCATACACAAGAAGATTATAAGTTAAATTCACAACTTAAGTTTTCAGATGAGATGGCCATACACTTTAACACCTCATACAGGAAGTTAACCTGCATTTAAGTCGAAGAGAGGATGTGTAACGGTTGAGAAATGAGCTGCTCTTTCCTCAAAGATGCAGAGGAAAATATTAACATTGAACCACATAAGAGCAGGTCTAATGTTCCTTTCCTTTTGCTTTGTTCTCTGTCCTTACCGATTTACAACAATTTTTAAGGACTTCTTTATCGCAGCTTGGTCGTAGATGACTTAAGCCTATAAGTTTCTTTACTTCATTATATTCTCAACCGACAATGCCAATTGCCAATATCCTCACTCTGTACCATAGTCTTCAACTCCATCGTCAACTGTTGGGATATACTATTAACCATATGGTTGAGTTATAGTATTGATTTTAATCCTTTATAAAGACTTTACATTTAATGTTAATTGTTACAATAAAGTTATTGTTTGAATAGATCATTGTGTTTATATGTGTGTCTATTGCTTATATAGTAGACGATTTTTGGGTATGGAGTTGCTTAACTCATACGCGGAAGATTAAAATTGTCGGTTTTTATAAGTCATAAATTAAATGTTCACAATCAAAGATGAAATTGGACAAACATCTTGATGATTGTAACACAAGATTAAATGTAATTCAATCTTAATTATGGGAATGGTAAAATTTCAACTTCTTGTGTTAGTACATTTTGCATGTATTGAACCGACCAAATTGAGATATGCATTTAGGTTCTGAATTTCAATAAATAATACCTCTAGTCCATTACATGAGCTTATACTCTTAATCTTGATGTAGTTATTATGATCAGTGTAGTTTGCTTTATTATTTTCATCTATTAAAAGGTGAGACTCTATGATGAGTCAAAAAATTCCTAATGGATTGGATAATAACAAATTATATTCGTGAAATAATAATTAGCTGATAGAACCATATCTCAGATATGAGAAAGAAGACGCCCCTTTATGGTTGCTTATAAGTAGTCACATGAAAATCCTGCAGGTGGATTATATATGTATATATGTCCCGTGAATTAATTTAAGCATAAAGATAAAGGATTGAATTAATCAATGGATTAAATTTTTCAGAAGTTCAGTTTAATTGATTAGTGTCGGTAATTCTAACATGGGGAGTTAAATAAGTTGTAACGAAAAAAAAATTGAAATTAAATAGAGGAGTGCAGTTGCAGATTTTTAGTGGTACAATCTGTGATTTATTATGATATGGTTAATTCATGTTTTTACGAATTAAATATTATAATTGGAAGCCTCTGCTAATAAATTTGTGGTCCCTACTATGCCTGATTAATTGATCTAGTTCGGAAAAGAAAAGGACTGTTAGTATTTTTTTTTCTGCTTAGGAATAAATTGTTTTTGACTTTTATTAGTTTAAAAGAGAAAAACTTTTTCTTTCCTTAAAAGAAGAAAAAAGAAAATACTGCAATGTTTTATTTCCTTAGAAGATGAAAGAAACAAATACTAGTGTTTAATGGTTATTAGTGGCTATTAATGGTGTTTAATGGTTGTTGATTACCCTTGGTGTTTAATGACTTTCTAAGGATATCTCTCGCAAACGAGAGACTTATGGTATTACAAATATCAATAATAATGCAGGAGAAGGACCAAGTAGTCAGGTTAGAACATTGAGGAGAACTACCTCATATGTGGATGATGACCAGGATTACATTTTTGTTGGCTATCAGGATATTGTAGAAACATTGCTAGCTGAACTTCTCAAAGCAGAGCCTCGTCGAAGCATCCTCTCCATTTATGGAATGGGCGGATTAGGCAAGACCGTACTCTTGCCAGAAACCTCTACACAAGTCCTAATATAGTCTCAAGCTTCCCTACACGCGCTTGGATATGTGTTTCTCAAGAGTACAACACAATGGATCTTCTTAAAACTATCATAAAATCCATCCAAGGTTGCGCCAAGGAAACTCTAGATCTGTTGGAAAAGATGGCAGAAAGAGATCTAGAAAATCACCTTCGTAAGCTATTAACAGAACACAAATACCTTGTGGTGATTGATGATGTGTGGCAGAGAGAAGCATGGGAAAGTTTGAAACGAGCATTTCCAGATAGAAAGAATGGCAGCAGAGTTATTATTACCACGCGCAAAGAGGATGTAGCTGAAAGAGCAGATAACAAAGGTTTTGTCTATAGACTTCGTTTCCTGAGCCAAGAAGAAAGTTGGGATCTCTTTTGTAGGAAACTACTCGATGTTCGGGCAATGGTCTCAGCGATAGAAAGGCTAGCTAAGGATATGGTGGACAAGTGTGGAGGTTTACCTCTTGCAATTGTTGTTTTAAGCGGACTACCTTCACATAAAAGAGGGCTAGAAGAATGGCAAAAAGTGAAGGACAACCTTTGGCAGAACATTAAAGACGACTCTATTGAAGTCTCCTACATACTATCATTGGGCTACAACGATTTGTCAACTGCACTCAAGCAGTTTTTCCTGTACTTTGGTATATTTCCAGAAGATCGTGTGGTCCATGTTGATCACATATTATGGTTGTGGATGGCTGAAGGATTCGTACCAACAGGTAAAGAAATAATGGAAGATGTTGCTGAAGGCTTCTTGAATGAGCTGATAAGACGAAGCTTGATACAAGTGGTAAGAACATTTTGGGAAAAAGTCAGTAAATGTAGGATTCATGATCTACTTCGCGATCTTGCTGTACAAAAAGCATTGGAGGTAAACTTTTTGGACATTTATGATCCAAGAAAGCACTCCATATCCTCCTTTTGTCTGAGACATTCCATTCATAGTCAAGGAAAACGGTATCTCTCACTTGATCTTTCTAACTTTAAATTGAGGTCACTTATGTTCCTTGATCCAGACTTTTAAAGATGGGTCTTATAAAGTTCCGTAATGTGTTCCAACATCTATATGTGTTGTACTTGGAGATTCGTGTTGACAATAAGTCTATAGTACCTGATGCCATAGGAAGTTTGTACCACCTCAAGTTCTTAAGATTGACAGGTATCTATGATCTTCCATCTTCCATTGGCAACCTCAAGAATTTACAGACACTTCTTGTCAATGACTATGAGAAGTCATGCCTGTCAATTTTCAGCTGAATGCCTCTCAAAGTGAGAGAGTCTTTCCATTATATAGAGAAAATAAAGATTACACATCCCTAAAGATCCGCCATTCCTATCCCTAAAGATCATCTATTCTATCTATACAAATCTGCCATTGAATCCCTCTAAATCTGCCTTGCTATCCCTCCAAATCAGTTATTCTATCACAATATTTATTCATATGATTCTACAACAAATGTATATGATCATGCTAATTTATATCACTATATAATTACATTAATATATACAATCATTTAGTTGTCTATCATGCTAACATCCCCCCTCAAATTGATGCTGGTGGATCAAGAAGCATCAATTTGCCTACTAGAAACTGATGGCGTTGCCGTGCCATGGATTTTGTAAACGCATCAGCTATTTGAAGATCACTGGACACATGTGGAAGAGTAATGACTCCTTTATCTACAGCTTCTCGTATATAATGACAATCCACTTCGATGTGTTTGGTCCTCTCATGAAAAACTGGATTAGTAGCAATCTGAATAGCACTTGTATTGTCAGCGTGGAGAGGAGTAGGATGAGATTGGGGAAATCCAATCTCAGCAAGTAATCCACGAAGCCATACAACCTCGGAGCAAGCAGTAGACATGGATCGATATTCTGCCTCTGTTGAAGATTTTGACACACGATCTTGCTTTTTACTCTTCCAAGATATCAATGACTCTCCAAGAAACATGCACCAACCAGAGACTGAACGACGAGTATCAGGACATCCCGCCCAATCAGAATCACTAAAAGCATTAAGACGAATAGGAGAACCACTTGGAAAGAACAATCCACGAGTAGATGTTCCTAGAAGGTACCGAATGATGCGACGAACAGCCACCAAGTGGAGATGACGGGGAGCTTGCATAAATTGACTAACTTGTTGAACTGCAAAAGAGATATCAGGCCGAGTAATAGTAAGGTAATTTAGACTCCCAACTAATTGTCGAAATATAGTTGGATCAGGAAGAAGATCGCCTTCCCCACATCGATACTTCACATTCAATTCCAGTGGAGTATCTACGGAGGATGAATCTTGAAGACTAGCCAAAGAAATCAGATCCTGAGTATATTTGTGTTGGTTTAGAAATACACCTGAAGCAACATTATGAACTTCCAAACCCAAAAAATAAGTAAGAGTACCAAGATCTTTCATATGAAAAGAATCTTTAAGCTGCTGTTGGAGGCAAGTGATTAGTGAAGAATCAGTTCCTGTGATAATAATGTCATCTACATACACCAAAAGAAGAACACAACCTGTAGATGTTTTCCGAAGAAA